GGTCATCTGTTTGTACGCTATCTTCTGTATATCCCGCACATATATCTGTTTATCTCATGCCATTATGCTCACCCAGAGGTAGGCAACCGTGGCACTCCAGCTGTGGTGACACCTAAAATCTTATCATGCCTCTACCTCTAGGAGTCATGCCTGGAACTGTCAGTCTTGCATTGCCTCATGGGACTTGTAGTTCCACAACAGCTGGAGTGCCAAGGTTGCCTACCCCTGCAGTAGACTGTGCAGTCATTGTCATGGCATCGGCCATTTGACAACAGATTTCTGATTTATTCCTGCTTTTATACATTTGTTTACAGTATCTAGTTACTGGCATTGTTAATTGTGTAATCGCACAATTAACAATGCTAATTAGTTCCTTGATTACAAATGCCTTTTCCTGCACGTATGTGGTATGTATTCATGTGTATATATTATATTTGGCAGTCAGTATATAAAAAGTGTTTATGATGGACTAGCCTAATAGACAGCTGTTGCGGTGTGCGGCCGCCCTTGCCACACTTGTTGTTTTTGGGGCTTTTTTTCTTGCCTATGTGATGCATCATTTGTCAAACATTGCAGGAATCTCTGCAGCTCACAGCTATATCCAGGTTGTCAGAGCTACACGTACTGTAAAAGGCTCAGGCTGTGAATGCCCTATGGACTTGCCTTGTGTTTTGTGCCACAGCTAGACGAGAATAAAGCTTAATTATAGGAGCCAGATCGGGCTGTACTATGGTGAAGGTAGGAGGAGCGGAGCTAGGTGTTGCCTGCAGCTCCATAGTGATGGGATTTTGGATTTCCGTCACAAACAGTCATTGCAGACTCACCCCCTGCACAGTGCACAGCCTGCTCGATGTGCCCTCACCTGTCCTTCACCTCGCAGTGTGAGAGGAGTAGATGACGCCTAAAGATGAGGAAGAAAAAAGGGGACAAGCAGCTGCGTCTCCCTGCCCGGGCTGCACTGTACATGTGAGTGCAAAATTACATACACAGCATTTCTAGGAGAAGCTAGGTCTCCGATGTATAGCACTTGTTGGCAAACACACTCCATACTTGTTTACTGGCTCCGTCTCCTATGGAGAGCAAAGTCATTATGGCAGCATCCAGGATTAAGAAGCCTTGGCTTACATACACCTTTTATTGTATGTGTGTGCTCACAGAACGTTTTATCCTAATAATAACTTCATTTAAACTATGACTAGGCTCCATGCTAATGACGTGTAAGGGGGCAGTGTCAGTACCATATAGCCTCTGTATGTCACTGATGCTAGATTTGGAGGTCACACTTGTTACAGTCTGATTGCATAGTTCCTTTAGGTTGGCTATGTTCCCTGCAATCTGATTGCATAGTGTCTTTAGGTTGCCCATGCTCATTTCATTCTTTTTGCTTAGTCCCTTTAGGTTGCCCATGCTCATTGCAGTCTTTTTGCATAGTGCCTTTAGGTCAGCCATGCACGTTTCATTCTGATTTTTTAGTCCCTTTAGGTTGCCCATGCTCAATGCAAACTGATGGCATAGTGCCTTTAGGTTGGCCCTGCCCTTTGCAATCTAATTGCGCAATATGACATAAGTTTTAGATTTTCTTCTGTGTAGTGCGAGAACATACATGATTGGATATACATTCAATGGACTGTTTAGGTGGATCATTGCAGTACAGAGAAGATTGCACGATCAGATTGTAACAGGTGTGGCCATCTTTCCATAGATGTGAATTCCGTGGGATCTGTGGGTGTAGGTAATTGGGCTACCATTCATCAGGGTCGGGGTTTTAAAAAAATCTTTTTGTAGCTATGTGGTTACCGGGAGTTTTATTATCCAGTGTGCTAGGGCTAAGGGATGCACTGTGTCATCTGTGGGAAACAGGGATTTCTGATTATACACCTTGGGGTGCCTCAGTGTTTGCAATATAGGTCTCTGAGCTCAGGGATATCAGTGTTTGTGAGTGATTGGGCTAAGTGGCTGCCTTAGTAGGACGCACATGTTTGTAGTGGGTTCTGGATTGCCTGTATCATAGGTGGGTAATCTCAGGTATGCTTTGTAGGTCTGTAAGTTTAGATGTGTAGTAGTTGCAGGTTAGTGCAGGATACAAGGGATCTCTGTGGCAAGCACGTGGACTCGGAGGTATCTGTAAAGTTGATTTTGAAGATGATTGATGTATAGATCTATCAGTGAGTGCCATATCTGTAATATAGATCTGTGAGAAGTATGATGTCTGCTTTCTGCTTTGGTGTGGTTAGAAGTATTTTGATGCATCTGCAGATATGTGGGATCGGCTGCTTCTGTACTTTGTCCCTGCTGTCAAGATATCCATACTACAGACACAGTATATCAGGAGAAGGTATATTGTGATACTGTGGATCAGGGGTGTAACTAGAATTTGCAGCACCATAGCAAAATTTTGTATGGGGCCCCTTTGACCTCTAGTTACACCCCTTGCAGAGCCCAATTGAGATCCCACACAGCCCACCTGAGGGTGATCCTGCAGAGCCCACCATAGACTCTCTAAGGTGGGCCCTGCAGGGTCACCCTCAGCTGGGCTGGTCACACTCCTTACCTGTCCGCCTCCTCTTCCTCCACCGTCGGTGATGAGCCCCGTCTCCTGCCCGTCGCCCCCGCCGCCGCCTCCTCCTCCTCCACTGCTGGGTCCAGCATGCTCCACTGCCGCTGCTGGCTCTCACTGACTCAGCAGCGGCTGTGGAGAGGAACGCGCCGCTGCATAGATCATTGTCAGTGATCTGAACAGCGGCACATTTCTCTTCACAGCCGCCAGTGACAGCCAGCAGCGTGAGATGCCAAAGCGACCCAGGCGGCCTTCAGGGCATCAGGAATGTCCTTGCCGGGCCCCCCTATGCCCCAGGCCCCAAAGTGGCCGCCTGGGTCGCTATGGTGATTGTTACGCCACTGCTGTGGATACGTGAGATCAGATATTCCTGTGGGGCCTGTTGTAGATCTGTGGGATCAGTTTTTTGCTTGCTGTAGATCTGTAGGATCTGGGTATTTGCACTGTATATTGGAGGTATCAGGCTTTCCTCTAGTGTTGATTCCTTGGATTGGGAGTGTTGTCTACCGTTAAGAAATGTCTGCTGTGATCAGTCTTGCCAAGAAAAGCAGAGACAAATCTTTTGATTTTGGAAGAAGGTAAGCTCAGTTTTGGTGATTTTTGTCCTTGTAAAGTTGTCACCAGCAACCAAATGGCTAGTATGACATGATCCTAAAGATGAATGATGTTAGACGAGTCCTTGAAGCTTTTCTGACCTCATTGGTTTAAATTGACTATTGGGCAGCTGGAAGTGTAGGCATAATCCGATAGCTGGAAGATTTATTTCTTAAACCAGTACCATAATTTGTATGTATGGGATGCAGAGTGTGCAAGATTATACTTAGTGAGCCTAGGGGGAGAGCATAGCCAGGCACTGGGAAACCAAAGATTCTCCTAAAATATCCAAAACAGCTGATCACTATTTCCCTCTCAAGATCAGTTGACAAAGGGAGTCTAGTGTGTCTTGCTTGCAGCTATAAACATGCAGCAGCTCCCTATCTGGCCATAATTAGCAATGATCATCTTATGTCAGTGGGTTGTGTAGCATTTTTCTTTCTAATGCCTTCTCAGCACTGTTCTTTATGACTTTCTGAATGCAAAACGTAATCTTTTTCACTGTTTTCTCTTTGGCTGTGTATCAAGGTGGTACCTTCAACTGTCTGTGTCTGTTTACTCCATTCCATGTTGTGGTGTTCATCTCTTGGACTCAGTTCTCGATAAATGACCATATGTTATGCTTTATCTATCTTTGTCTAGTTGCCTGTATTTTTTAGTCCTGGTTCACACCTAGCATTTTGTCAAGCTTTTTTTCACCCAAAAACGCCCAAAACAAAGTCCCATTCATTTCTATGGCCATGTTCACATCTGAGCATTTTGTTGCTCGTAGCAAAACGCCCATCGCTAGAAAAAGTACATGAGCTGCTTCTTGGTCCCATAGACTACAATGTAAATGCAAAAAAAACTGCGTGTTTGCTGCGTCGTTTTATGTAAGTTTGCTCATTTACATCAATCTGCTTGCAAGAAAGTGCAATTTGATTTATTTTCCTGAAATGCGTGCAAAAAGTTGTTAAATGCGTGTAGAAACAAGCAAAAGCGCGGTTGCCTAGGTGTGAATCCAGCCTTATTGCTTCTCTGTAGCCTTTCTGGATTACATTGTATTGTGCTACACTATCTGGCCAAACGTTTGTGGACACCATAGCTATATAACCTTGTTGCAAATCTCCTTCCAAAACTATGGGCCCCCCTTTGCAAATATAACAGGCTCCACTCTACTGGGAAGACTTTTCCTCTCATCAAACACGGCCATGTTTGTATGGGAGATAGGGACCTTCGATTGTAAGCTCCTCGAGGGCAGAGACTGATGTGAATGTGCACTACACATGTAAAGTGCTGCATAAATGACTGGCGCTATATAAATGGCTTTAATAAATAAGCTGTTGGCACAATAGTGAAGAACACAATTGTCTAAAATATCTTTTGTATGCTGTAGCATTTATAGTACCCTTCACTGGTAACACCTGAACTCAATATTTTGTAGCAGTGCCCACTTATTGTAGGTGTCCACAAACCCTTGGCCTTTCTTTAGCTGACAGTATGTTATGCTGTATCTGTTCCAGTCTGTATCCTGTTTGGATGACCCTATGTTGTACTCTGTTTGGCCTCTTTTCTCCATAGCTGATTGTATTTTTAGTTTCCTGTGTGTTGTCTTTCGTTTCTGCTTTTCCTTTAGCTTGTATTCCAGCATTTGTCTTTTTTAGTAACGCCGCCTCTGTCTCGGGCCCAACTCTTTGTGGCTAACTGTGCGATACTGCACTCCTAATCTTACGTTGTGCTTTCTCCATCTGAGCTTGTGCTCTCTAAATCTATTACTTGTGTTGTCTCTTTTTCAGTTTGAGTGCTCTCCTCTTTGTACTTGTGGGCAATCTTTTTCCACCTTCTTATTACCTTTTATTTGTCTCTTTAGTGTTGAAGGAGGTGACTCTCTTGGAAGTGAATCTGGAACAATTGTTGACAGTCCAGGCCAGCAGCCTCCGTACCGTGTAGAGGTGAAAAGCGACCATTACGACCTGCCGTCACCCACCCGTCACCCATCCCACCCTGGCCTTCAGTGGAGTCAAAGGGCCAGACTGCAGCCAGCCAGTGTTGCCTTGCGTAAGCAGGAAGAAGAAGAAAACAAAAGATCCAAAGCCTTCTCTGACAGCTATGAATTGTCAACAGACCTCCAGGACAAAAAGGTACACATCCACATCGATCCTTTTATGTGTCCTTTACTCTCCTCCTGTCTTACATCAAGGCTTAGTCCTTGTTTGTAACTTTTGTCTTTTCCCCTATCCCTCTAGAGACATGGTTTTCAAACCTGTCACTGTGACTAAGTTGTCATGTTTTCTGTTTGTTCCGAGTCACCTCAGTGGTATGCCTTAATAACACCATTATTAAACTCATAACTGAGTTTGTAGACTATTAACAAGTCCCAAGGACAGGTTTGAAGACTTCTCTCGCTATTTCTGTCCATGCTTCTATCCTGTCCCCTACTGCTCCCTCTAACCTCATGTTTCAGACTGTCCTTCTGTCCTCTTTGGTGTCTCCTGGACCCTTGTCTTACACACACACTCTACCTGTCTCCTGATGTAGGTGGAGATGCTGGAGAGGAAGTATGGGGGCTATTTCCTCAGTCGGCGAGCGGCTCGCACCATCCAGACTGCGTTCAGACAGTATCGCATGAATAAGAACTTTGAACGCCTTCGTAGCTCTGCTTCTGAGAGCCGCATGTCCCGTCGGATCATCCTATCCAACATGCGCATGCAGTACTCCTTTGAGGAGTACGACAAGACCCACAACACCCCATATTTCCAGGGCAAACCGGTATCATTGGACGAAGGGGTAGCTGCATGTCGTGGGCAGGGGGAGCGAGGTCTTCAGTATGGGGTCTCCGGCAGCGGTATTGACGGTGATTCCATCAACACCTCAGGGGAATTTTCCAATGAAATCACAGAACTGGAGGATTCCTTCTCCAAACAGGTGAGACACAAGAAGGGTGAGTGTCTTAAGGGGAGGAATTAAAGTAACTTTCATAGCGTATAAAGGGCATGAAATCATGGAGTAAGAGAATGTAAATGACCACTGGTGGAGTTTCTTTTTTAGGTTTTAACTTTTACTATCTAGTCACCCAAGAAAATGCCACTTACACGGTCAGTATACTCAAAGCAGATATTGAGTTTATAAGATGCTAGTTGCTGAATCAGCCATTGGAATCTTATGTTTCTCAGGGACTCGGGCATTAAAGTCACTCAACTGAAAAGTAATGTTGCTCGGCTGCAACACCACCATTTTTTTATTACCTTACATGCTTCATTCTTTGTCAAGTGACAAAAATGAGTGTGTGAGTGCCCCTTGCAACTCCTATGGCATCTGGGTGGACCTAACAAGTGCAGAAACTGTGCTACCAGAGTCCCTGAAAGATAGAAGGAGCCACGCCAATGACATTTTACTGTTCATATATTAGTTTTGAGTGTACTGATACTTTAACTTATAATGAGGGTAGTTATTTTCTTTATTGAACTAGGGAATCTACCTTTATGGGTCTTTAATCTTCTTAGAAATAGTGGCATAACAGAGGCATTTTATGGAGTTGTTTTGAGTGGATGGATAGTCTGGCTATTGGTTCAGCCTGCACAATGGCTGTTTAAGATGTATGGGGTGAAGGGTCCTTTTCAAAATACATTCCTAGTGTGTCCTCTTTCCTAGCTGTGTCATGGCACACTATATCGTTGTGAATTTGTCTTCCTCCTGCTACATTTTTGTGACTCCCCTGCCAAGTCAAGTTTTTTTGTGTTTTTGCTCTTGAAGAAATGACTATATTGCTGCCTCTACACAGTCCCACTTTTGTTCTAATGCGTTTTATATAGTAATGTCTGTAAAGAGTTTTTTTTTTTTTTTTACATAGTAAAATTTTTCCTCTTTTTCTTGACCACAGATTTTTGAATGTGAATGCCAAGGAAGCTGTAGTTGGTTGAGACTACAGTTGTGGACTTTTGAGTAGTACCCCTCTCCCATCTTGACTCTAACCATTACAGTATTTATACATGGCAAAAGAAAAACCTAAATATTTTGATCCCTAGAGAAACTGCCACTTTGGGATCCCTCTGCATATTTTTTGCATGTATAATGGAGTGGAGGTTTAGCATATGGGCTTATTATGCCACAGGTCCACTTTAAAAGTACATTCTAAAGGGACTCTTGAGAAACAGCCTACCTGTGGATGCACTTTTATTTTCCACTTTGAATCAACTTGTGCATTTAGCCACACCGTTAACTAAAGTTCTTTAGTTCCCAGTATGCTTGCCTTCTGGGACTTTTAATCTGACTTCTGGAAAACAGTAGGCCAAAGTTTTAATTGCTTTTCCCCATAGTTCTCCCTAGGGTAACGGGAGGACACAAACTAGCGTCCTCCCGTCACCCTAGGCTCAGTATACCGCAAGCTGTAGCTCGCGGTATACTGAGACACAGCAGCTGAAGCGGATCCCGACAATTGTGCCGGGATCCGCCCAGCTGTGTGACTGACAAATGGCTCTGCCTATCTAGAGGCAGAGCCAGCTGTCCCCGCCCCGTCCGTTCCGCCAGTCAGCACTGGCGGATCGGAGCGGGGAGGGGGGAATCCATCCCCTCCCCCTGTCACGGCAGAGAGCCGTGACAGGATCAAGAAGTGAGTGAACGGCAGTATGTGTTCGCTCACCTCCCGATCTACTGAGCCGACCTGTGACAGTCTCATTGTCACAGGTCAGCTAGAACTATGAGGTGAGTGAAAAGCACTCAGTTCATAGTTCTCCTTTAAGTGCAACTTCACCAGCACACTTTGATGTGGAAGTTGCTCAGCACAGGTCCATGTGACAAGAAGCTGCAGTAAGAATTCCTGTGGGGATCCTGCTAATAATAACTGCACAGGACATTCATTAAATTCTGATTAAAGTTTATGGTTGAAGCACTATTGTAATGTTTCCTGCTCTGCAATATTTTTATTTAGATGCACGGTGAAAAAAATGGAGGCCCCAACATTGATCTGTGCCCCATGTTTGGGTTTCACTTGAATGGATCAATATCAAGGAGAAGCTGTAGGACTCCTTGATTTTACAGACTTTGTAGCTGGATATTAAAAATTACTTTTAACATTAAAATGACCCCGTCACCTTGCCCATGCAGGACAAAGTAACCGTGTCTCTGCAAAGAGCATCCCCTCACTCCCAGTTACTCACCTTACCTGCACTTTTTTGGAGCTCCTTGCTCTTTAGTTGGAAAGCAGATATGACAGCTACCCAACACATCAAAGTGTTTTGCTAATACACTGATTAGATAGACTGTATTTGCTCATAGGAAATATGGCAAGGCCTAGACAGATTCTGCTCAATTGGGACCTTGCAAACTGAGCATGATATGTGCTTTGGGGCACTGTTTTAGGAAGGCAGCAAGAAAGAACAAAATGTTGTATATATGCAGCCTACCAGTACTTGGATGTGGTGGTTGCATGATTTTCACCTGGTGATCTTCACAGTAACACACTTCATGTCCTTTCCACACTATTCTGTATTTAAGGAGGAGAAGCATTGTCTGCTTAGGAAGTAAGTGTTTGCATAACCCCTTTCCTTCCATCAATAACAAGGTAGGGAGAGATTCGGTAGTTCACAGAGATAGCTGAGAAGAGTACAGTAAGTTATCCTCTCACAAGCTTTCTGGCAGAGCAACAGGTACTTTTATACACTTACCAAAGATATATAACCAAACACTTTCAATGGTATATTTAACAGACCAAAAGGAAGCAAATACAATAATGTCATTGTTAGTGTTTACATGCATTTATTAAGTCATCTTTTGCTTCCTGTTATACAGATCCTTTTTGGGCCATGGTTAGTACCTCAAAATTGTTTCCCTAGAGTTATATTTAGCATCAGGATCTTTACGGTATTATCATTATGTCATACACACCATTATTTATTAGGCAAAATGTGAACCTTCCCCTCAAACCTAAATAGTCGTACACAAAGCGCTACCACCCAAAAAGTATTCACCTGTTTTGCGCAGTCTCCGCGTTGGTACAAGCCCACTCCTGTGTGCTCAGGTGCCATCAAAATATGGCACTCTCTGTATTTTCAATTCATTGCCATAATGCAAAGCATGATCTTATTTAGGTGTTTGCATTTTAGGATCTGCTACCTGGGGTGTGAAGACAAGTACATGGCACAAACCAGCATATACAAGCACCTTGTGGTGCCTACTAGTTGTGTTCTATGTCAGATTGTTGATGGGTTATTGCACTGTACAGATTATCATTTCTCCATGAACTTTTATTTTTTTCTGTTGTTCTGAACATGGTTATGCGCTTCCTAACAATGCCAAAATATGATATGGTAGCGGTGTGTAAAGGGGGTGATTTCCAATTTTGGAACCTTCCTTTCTTAAAATTGCATTCCTGAATACCACAATTTGCTTTTTCTGGATCAACACAGTTAGCTATTATAAGCTAAGGTATCCTGTGCTACTTTTGAAACCCAACTGAACTTTTATTTTAAATCTGCTAAATACATTCCAAGTAAATAAAAACAAAGGTGTTTTAGCCTGAGTAGAAAGCCATATTCCCTGTCAGCATGCAGAGCTATAGGTGTAACTCAGCAAAGTGTTAGAGTGCAAGGGTCCTCCTTCACAATATGCTGACAGGGGTAAGGCTTGTCTACTCAGGCTATGGCTGCTTTCTAAAGAAAATTAGCTTTGAGATTTTGCATGCATTTTTCTGCGCCCACAATTTTTATTTACATTTAAATGTACAAATGTCATTCAGTTGGGCCTTAAAGGAATATTTTTGCAAACAATGGGTGCCATCTTCAGCTGAACCTTCTTTTTTTTTTTTTTTTTTTTTACTTTTGATTTTTGGGGCATTGCG